CTTTTATCTTAGCCCAGTGACTCCCCACCTTTTTCATGGCTTCAAAATTTATGAAATATTGTGGTTCTGCATAAGCTCTGTGCAAAAAGTCGATAAATATGTAGGAGTCAGGGAGTGGGTACAGGAGTTGCAATCCCAACCACTTCCCCTCAAGCACTGATTGTTCCAAGATCAGTAATTTGATATAAACACCAGTTCGGTGTAGTGGTTAAGTGCGTGGACTGTAATGTGTGAGAACTGGGTTAATTCCCCACTCCTCCCCTTGCAGCTGCTGGGTGACCTTGGGCAAGCCATAGTTCTGTCAGAGCTGTTCTAGAAAGAGCAGTTTCTGTCAGAGCTCTCTCAGTCTCACCTACCTCAAAAGGTATCTGTTGTGGGGAGAGGAAGGGAAAGGAGATTCTAAGCCGCTCTGAAACTCCTTCAGGTGGTGAAGGGGTATACATCCAATCTCTTCTCTCTCTCTAAGTGACATATTCACCCTCATCCTCAACATATCTGTGGTTGCCGTATGCCGCTCGTCAGCCAGTTGTATAAACAGTGAGCAAATTAGTCAGCCAGTGATAATTAGGACACACCGATTTTTTTTTAAAAAAGATGCTTACATTTGGTGCACGTCTCTGTTAATCTCAGTTATTTGGCATTTTTGCATGTGCAATTTTGAATAGCTCTGTGGGAGTCGTACCCCCTGACACGCTCACACACAGAAACATCGTTTAATTACTTGACTTCCTCATCCATGACCCTGGGGGAGAATGGATTTCACCTACTGCACAGATGCAGAAGTGCCCATAAGGCAAAAGAGAGCCAGTTTGGTGTAGTGGTGCTGGTTTGACCTTCAGTCAGTTACAAGTTATTTCAGAGCTGTTCACTCAGGAGCAGTTCTCAGAAGAGCTCTCTCAGCCCCACCTGCCTCACAGGGTGTCTGCTGTGGGGAGGGGAAGGGAAAGGAGATTGTGAGCCGCTCTGAGACTCCGAGTGAACGGCCGGGTATAAGCCCAATCTCCTCCTCCTCCTCTTCTTCTTCATCATCATTGTCTTCGTCCTTCTCCTCTTCTTCTTCTGATTTGAAATAATCACCTAGCCATTTCAAATAATTTGTAGTAATGGGGAAATAACAGAATTCCATATCCCAGTTGAGAATCATCATACATTCACAGTTTAACTATATAATTGTGAAAAACTGATAACCATCAGTTGACTGAAAATCGAAGGATGATATTGTAATATTGCATTGTCGTATTGTACCGCTTTTACAGATCCTTCTATAATAAGCATAAAGGGTCTGTGCTATCGTGTCAATCTCACCTAAGGGACAGGAAAGCGGTTCGGCAACCCTTGTGAGTTAGATGGAAGGCAGGCGAACACCACCCGATGCTCGGCTGACCAGCGGTTGCAGCTCTCGAACACAGAACATTTGCCATAAACGATGACTTAACTGCAGCGGGATAATTCTGTTCTCCATCCGCAGCCAACCGGACCCCATGTGGCGCTGCCCTCGCCAGATTTCGACCATCATGTGCGTCCGCGAGCCACTGTGCCACCCTCCAGACTGCAGCGGCCGTGGGCACTGTGTGCTTGGGAAATGCCAGTGCAGCGGAGCTTACTGGAGCGGGCCCGCCTGTGACGTCTTGGACTGCGGGTCTTCCAACTGCACTCCGCACGGGATATGTACAGAGAGTAAGTCTGGTGGAAGCAGCCCCTGATGACAACAATCTGCTAAGAAGCAGGAGGCCAACGGGGAAGGGCCATGGCTCAGTGGTAGAGCATCTGCTTGGCGTGCAGAAGGTCCCCGGTTCAATCCCCAGCATCTCCAGTTGAAAGATCAAGTAGGAGGTGGTGTGAAGACCTCTGCCCAAGACCCTGGAGAGCACGCCCCTCCCAAACCCTGACCTCACTGATCTTGACTGTTTCCTCTTTCTTTACCTCTTGCAGTGGGGTGCCTCTGTCACGCCGGCTGGATGGGCCCAAATTGCAGCAAAGGTAACTGAGTTTCTCTGTTCATAGTCTCAGTCTCAGAGGGAAGCATCCCAGGCCACTGTTTTGCCTCCCCGTCAGCTCCTTCAGCCGTGGGCAAGGGGGTTGGGGTAGGTGACCTCTAGGATCCCTTCTAACTCTGTGTCAAGAAACTGGTGACCTTTAAGAGAGTTTTCCTGCCTCAGTGTTTGCTTTCTTGACTATAGAAATCATCACCCCCACCTGCCGGCTTGTTACCAGAACTGTTGCTCGGGCTGGCAGAAGTGATTAACTTGCAGCAGCTGAGAACTGTCATCTAAAGTGGTCGACAGCTTGCAATTTAGAGATCTATCCTGGTCACAGCTCTCTGTTGGCTAAATGGCTTTTCTTTCTGCACGGAGAACTTCAGCTACTGCATGCATTTGTTTGCTCCGGAGCCCTCCTTCCTGAGCTAAGACAAAAACGGGTGAGCCGGAGGCTAAATTACTGTGAGCTAGCTCACGCTAACTCAGCTTAGAGGGAACACTGCCCACAAGCCACAAAATCCCGGCTTTGGGCCTGTCGACAGGGTGGGTCATTCAGCTAATGATAGGATAGGATTTGGGTTGTAGCACCAGCCAGAAATCTAAAAACAGAACTGAAGCAAAGCGTGAGTGTTACCGTGACACATTAAATGATGCAAGATCACCTAGTAGGACCCTTCTCTTTTTTAAAAATTATATTTATTAGTAGGACCCTTCTCAGAGCACCCCCTAGGCATAATACAGATCCCAGTCCCCAATACTTTATCCAAGAAACTTGGTGAAGCCTTTTGTACAGTGAGCTGGTGCCACCCATAACGAGTTACAACAAAACTGCAAGCCGGCAAACGCGTGAAGCAATTTGGAAACCAGTTCACACTCCTATCGTGTTTGGAGGCGTCGTCCTGTTGAATGTTTTGGATTCCTTTCACTTTACTGGGCTTATCTCTTTGGACATCGGTTTGCAACAACCTTTGGAGGCTTAACCGGTTGTTATATGCACTGGACTTACTTTTTTGAACACTGTTTTCAATAACAGTCGGAGTCGGTGGTGTATTTCGCTTATATATTACGCGACACGTTATACTGAGTCTATTTGATGACAGTATTTACAGTTTCTCTGATGTGTTGTCGTTTTGTTACACAGTAGGGGTTTTTTGTTTTTGCTGTGACCCTGTACTGTGTTCCTGCCTATTTGTTTTCCACCCCTAATGAGTTTTTTTTTTTGACAATTTATTGAGTTTTATTGGATTTTATCAAGCATAAACAGTTTTTACACATGTAGGGCAGTAATAAGAACAATATAACTAGTTGCCGATACAGTAAATGAACAGCGATATTACAAATTGAGAGGCTCAGAAAACCACATAGCCCAACAACAAAAAGATCAAAGAATAAAGGCTTACATTAACACTGAGCTGATATTATATATAGCCCATTTTTCGCAAATCATTTTTTCTGCTTCTACTTTTTCCAAGAAAGGAAACCATTTGTCTAGAGGATCTAGAAGTAACTTTGTCATAACATTTCTATCAGAATAAGCGGTAAACTTTTCTAAAGTAAAATAATCCCATATTTTCCTTAACCACAGGTCTATTGTGGGAGGGTTATCATTTTTCCAATGTTGAGCAATGGTTGCCTTAGCTGCTGTCAAAAGGGTTATGATCAGTTCCTTGCAGGATTTAGGAATCTGATCATCTTCCCAAAGATTTAACAGAATAATAGCTGGGTCCATGGGAACATTAAATCCTGTAAAGTATTTTATGGATTGTAGTATTTGTTTCCAAAATTCCTGAATATGAACACACTCCCACCATGTGTGAATCCTTAATGAGTTAAAACAGGCCGCAGTACGCGACTCCGCCCTGACGCCGTTGCATGTGTGTTTTTCTTAACAGCCTGTATGAACGGTACCTACGGAGACGGGTGCTCCCAGACATGCCTCTGCCTCAATGGTGGCTGGTGCGACCCCGTGCAGGGGTCGTGCGCCTGCTTGGCCGGCTACCAAGGAATCCTCTGCGAAGAAAGTAAGACGTTCCGGCTAGAAGTGGTAACGTTTGCGCGGGAGATTTGGCTCCGGTACCTTTTAGCCTAGTCTCTCCGCCCACTCAGATGCCAACGATCTGTGCGGATCATGGGGGGGGCAGGCGGGGTTGCCTCAGTGCTTAGTTCTCACGGCCCTTTGGTCAGATCCCTACAGCAATCAGTTCCCAACAACTTCCATTCAAAAGAGTGAAGTTTATTGAGGCTGCGGTCACATGGAGCATTAGCCACGCTACAGAGTTGGAAGATAGGTGGATTTTCCAGGCGCGATCACACCGCAACATCTGGGAAGTGTAGAGCTCCCGTGGCGAACCCGAGGCTTCCCGCCGAAGATGCGGAGTTAAAAACTAGTACCTCCGAGGTATTAGTTTCCGGAAACCGCGGGGCAAGGGCGGGCGTCTGATTGCATTTCCAGTGGTGGCATCTGGCGCCCGCCCATGTCCCTTCGCAAACAGGTTCTCCCCCCCAAGTCTCCACAAGATGTGCACAAGCACCCAACGGCGCATGCGCACAAAGAGAAAAGCGAAAATGCCGTTTTGGCTTTAAAAAATAATGACCCCGTTTGTCACGGCAGCGGCGCCTAGCCATTGCTGGTGTGATCCTGCCGTGCCGCTTCTTTGCCGCGCTGCAGGATCATCGTGTGATCGCCACCCTCGTTTACCCGCCGGCGCGGAGGGATGGACCCGTGGTGTGCCGCCGGCACGTCTGATCGCGTAATCGCGGATCAAACTGCGCCGGGGCAATTAGCCACGCCTCCCCCCCCACGATATCCGGCCCGTGTGACCGGGGCCTGAGTACAGTAAAGGCAGGTCGTCTGTGCATACATTCTGTGTTAGAACTACTGGAAAGCGCGCCAGCGGGGAGTTATACGTAATTCGTGGCCCGGGTCCAATCAGGGAGCAAGTAAAAGCCCGCCTAACCTAATGGGTCTACATTCTCATGGGAAAGCTGCAACAAGGTACCAAGGTCATCAGCTGAGGCGACATAGATGAGAGAGCATAGAAGAAATGAAACTTAAGATTCCAGCACAAAGGCAGACCAACATCTTCCCCC